AAGTTTTTCTAAGAAAAACGTTTGATTGTTATTTAGAAGGTTACAGAGATTACGCAAATGAATTTTGACAAAATTACTTTGCATGTTTGATAGTCAACATTCTAAAATGAAAACTTCATAGCAAATTTTTAATTAAAAAATCTTAATACTTAATTAAAAACAGATATTTTGTGTACAAGAGTCTTGTAATGCTTACTGATAATCTATGAAATTTTATGAAGATACACATACAATATCAAAAGTTATTGTATGACTACTCTTGTGGTTACTTTGGTGGTGATAAATTGAGTGCAATGCACCCAGCCCCATAGTCAGAGTTAATTGAGATACTTAATAAAATAGCAAAAACAGTATACCTTAAAAATGAACATCAAACTGGTTATATGGTCTTTTTACCAGATAAAAGAGAAGATATGTATGATGATAAAGAGTATGTGAAACATCAATAGCAAATAAATCAGACTTCCAACATCCACAGACTAATAGAAGAAGGAAATAAGTCTTAAGGGAAAAATGAAACAAGGAGCACATGGAAAGTGGTTCAAACGGAAGCAAAGTGAGGCATTGGAGAACCAAATTAACATTCCAATTCACAAGGGCAGCCCACTGCGGAGGATGATGAATCTGGAAGGAATGGATCAACAGGGAGGGTGTAAGAGAGGTAGAAACTCTACAGTATCAGGAAAAACGGTAGGTGTGGAATAAAGCCACTTTATAACCGGAAATCGAGGAGACAGAGGATCTCTGATAAAAAAGCCAAGTAAGAAATTCCGCAATATAAAGAACAGTGGGTCAATCAGATGAAAACCCCCAGCCCTGAGACCAAAAGTGAAAATGTTCCATTTACACTGATAAGTTAGAACTACTTGTGGGTAGTTAGAAATACTACTTGGAAGGTCAAAAGAATTCAGAGAAATTATAGTATAAAAACTCATGTCTAGAGCTAAAAATCAGTTCTCCAGGAAGAATTGAGGTTCTCCAAAGAGCTAACCTTGTTGTAAGTATAGAATTGCTATCTTTCTTGTTCAATTAATGTAGTTTACTAAAGGAAGTTAATGCTTATAATAGAGAGAAATATTATATACGTATTGGTTAATAGTGTTAACTGAAAAGTGAAAAGTAGAGTTGTGAGAAACTAACGGTTTAGTAAATGTTTAACTATTGATGTTAAAAGTATATACCATGTGGAAAATGTTGATGTATTTTGTGTAATGTCAGTCTTGGAATACGTTTCTTTATTCTAACTGTAAGTTACCTAGAGTTAATCCTCAAATAAATAAATTTGGTGTAATCAGCAGTATAGTCGAAACTCCAATGACTAGCCTGTCACAGTACTGTTGGTTTCGTGCCAAACTAAGTCGAAGGAAATGATGAGATACGGAACCCCTGGAAGAAGGAATAGGTAACAGCTGAGAAGGACTAGGATGGGAAACAGGAATAGGCACTTATCATGATTCCAACTGCAACAAACGAGCTACCAAAGAAGAAAGGGTAGAGTGTGGTCACACAGAATCCGCACGATTCCAAGGTGTCTGGGATATGTTTGGAAACATACTGCCTATGTAAAGGGTATATACGTAATTCCCGAAATAAGTGGGTGGCAAACGAACTTGTCATAAGGACCCATCACAACCCAGAAAATCCCAATAACAGAGAAACCACGTGTGTAAGACAAAGGCCGAGGATGACAAACAAGCCAATATGGAAGTAATAAGGGAGAGGTTGTCCCTCAAAAAAACCCTTAGGTTTCGGTGCATAACTTCTGAAAAGAGATGTACGGTACACAAATACTGTGAAAGGGAAGTAAGGATAAGATGAAGGTGTGAAACTAGGCATGGGATAAATGCACTGGAAAATCAGAATGTTCCCCCTAAATGTGCAAAATATACACCAACAACTGAGAGTCTAGAAATGGACAGTCTGCATGATGGTATACCAAAGCAAACGGATCCATAGCTAATAGGGGGATTAGGCACACTGGCACCCTCAACCAATGAGGAAGCAAAATGCTCAGCATGAACTCTAAATATCCGGGGAAGGTGGGAGAACTAAATAATAGTACAACAAAAGAAGACAAGGATCGTAGGAAATCGGGGAAAGGGATAAAATATTACACATCTAAGAAATTGTATCTAAAAAATGCCAAATTAGGCCTAGCTGATTCTGCAGGTGCAGCATAGGAAGACACGGCAAAATGCACTGGTGGAAAAAGGCTATCAAAATCTTCATCAGAATGAACGGGTTCAGATTGTTCATGAGGAAGTAAGGAAACTTGAGGAGAAGGTGGTTGACCCATATAATGATTAATCTCTCAACACATAATCGCACATAAATCCAATGATGGGTCACCCCACCCGCGGCCAGTGAAAAAGTGCTTATAGTAAATGTGAGACCCAAAGTGGCCACATTAACCTCAGAATTCATGGTAAATAATAAATCAAACAAACTGTTTGAAAGATAAATACAAATGTGCAAGAAAACAAAGCAAAAATAAAGACTGGAAAGTAAATTGAAAATAAATTTGTCAGCTATATAATCAAAAAATGATTAAAAAACCACTTCAGAAGTATAACTGCTAAAAGTTACAAGGTTGAAGCACACGAGAGAAAAATCTGAAACCTCTAAACACAAGCACTGCCTAATAAGAAGTGAAAAGTTGGTAGAATTAAATAGAGGGAGTCAAATGCGTAACGAGTGTGTGGTTCTCTCATGGGTGGAAGGTTATTGCATGATGATTTGAATGAGTCATTTCCAATGGAGGAGAGGCAAGAGGTTTGTGGCATGCATAGAAGTTTTTATCCATATAAGATGGTAAATAATGCTTATTAACCCTTTCGCCCCAGGTATCCTTTACTATGCATGACAGAAAGTTTTAGTGTCTTACATTCAAAATTATATTAAACTACTTTTTTTTCATGTTATACCAACTAGTATAGTAAAAAATCATAGCTAATGATCTATATTTTAATAGTATATAAATTCCTAATTCTATAGCATAATATTAAACAAAATCCTGAATTTCCCCTAGTGTGACACTTGTGACATATTTTCTCCAGGCATCTTGTCTTCTCTATTTTATCCCCCAACCCTTGAAAAAGTACGACATTAAACGTAAATTATTCTATAGAATCATCATTGTTCAAACAAACCATAATTTTTATAGCCCTCAATTTTGTTTGGTTACAGAGTTATTGAATAGAAAAATCAGACTTTTCCTATCACACCCACCTGTCACATTCTTTCTTTCAAGATTTGTTAATAGTTCTATCTTATGTTTAACTATACATTATCTATAAACATAGAAAGTGAAGGTTTTCATCTATCAAATGACGTATCGTATAACTTTGTGTTCTGAACAGATAATAGCCAATTTCACTCACAGTACAAGCTATGTACATGTGAGAAACTTGATGACTAACTTGGATGAATTTGTAACAGCTCTTGTCACATAGTTAGAAAGCCTGAAAAATTTTGAATTAGATGAAATTGTCTACTTTTTGCATGTTATTAGTCTATGTTCTTTGGTCCATTATTTAAATAAATGAAAATTATTTAGTGCATTACTACCATTAGTATAAAATAGTAGGCTTACATATCTTCAACAATCAACAACAAGAAAAAAAAGATTGGGTAAGTACTTTATTACTTGTTTTTCATATTTAACCTTTATTTATTATTATAAAAGTAACTAATATGTAAAAAAATGGATCTTTTTTAAGTTAGTTGAGATTAGATTAGGTAAAACAAATAATTATAATAATATAATAAAAATGTTTCACGAGGCATGCACGCGAGTAGCACATAGGTAATGTTATTCAATAGCGTAACGTGAGCTGCACGTGACCCCCAAGTGATTTACAACTTATAATGGCACAAATAGTAGTTAGACAGGATTCAGAGAGCAATAAAACAATAAAATATAATTATAAATAGATGTATACTGTTATGAGCTTAAAGCTACTTAGGATAAAGGAATGTAGTTTCATATTACAATTTGAAGTCATCTCCCCCCTCCCCCCAAGAAAAAAAGGGGGGGGGATTTAGATTTATTTTGATTTTATTGTTGGTGGTTACAAGGTCAGTCAAATTGAATGATCCAAGTTTTACTTAAAAAAAAAAACGTTTGAAATGTATCTAGGAGGTCGCTGTGCCAACGGGGGAGCCAAAACAAATATTCAATATATTCATGGACAAATCTTTATTTTAGTTTATTAAAAATAGTTCACTAAAAAATATGATTTTTTTTGTATGTGAAAGACTTATAATGTTAAGTGCAAGACTGCCAAATTTCGTGAATTATAATGAATGTTAGAAATATTAAATCTATAAAGACTTTAAATGAGTACAAAGAGGTCACGTGATCCATCAAATCGACTGACCCTGTATTGAAAGAGTTAATGAATAACAAAATATACACACCAAGAAACACAATGCTCATATTATGTGGTACAATGAGAAACTACCAGAAAGTTACAAGATAGTGGGAGCTGCAACATATAAGGTAAGGAACTGGGAATAAGAAACTGAGAAACAAATACACGTGTGATGTTTTTTTTTTTAATTTGATTAAATCATCTTGATCTTAATAGAATTAAACAACAATGAATTCCATATTTAAAAGAGCACTATCATTGAATGATAAAGAAATACCATCTTAATTTCATTCAGTTTCTAATTCTATTTTACTTTGCACTTCTGTATATAAATATCTTCAACAGATAAAAAATTGCAGTTTCACCTTAAACATTAGGATAGGTTAATATTACCACTGGTACACATAAGGTTAAAGCTGAATTTACAATACAGAACCTTGGCTCAAACTGCTAGTGCTATATTGATAAAAATATCTATGCATTTCTAAACACTACAAAGATTCAAAAATGGTACAGAAATTATATACCAGCTGAATAACTTTTTCATATTATAATTTTATTTTACAACAGAGGATGGGAAAAAATACTGAATAAACTAAATAAAGTAATTAATGCAAGTCACTTTACTCTCAGTGTTGTTATTCATCAAGGCAACAAATGGATTTCCTCCAAGCTGCTCTTGAGCAGCACTAAGCATTGGTTCTTGCAAATCAGTATACATCCGTCTGAGAGCATTATAACCACCAGGTATGCTCTGCAAAATTAAGAACTTTTATTAGCATTCATATACATTATTCACAAACACAGATAACACATTATAAATTATTTTTGGACTTCAGTTGCTAACTAAATTCTATTGTAAACATTAGGTCACCTCATAATTTGTTTGCTAGGAATTAGATCTTTTTTTTTGTAATTAAGCACAAAGCTACACAATGGGCTATCTGTGCTCTGCCCACCACGGGTATCGAAACCCGGATTCTAGCATTGTAAGTCCGCAGACATACTGCTGTGCCACTGGGGGGCTCTTTTTTTTGTCACCCAGCAAGTACATATAGTACCAGAGACGAGTAATCTGGATATAGTCATTTTTTAAAGTATATTTTATTACTTCCAAAGGAATAAATAAATGCTTGCTAATTTCACTGTTTTCATTAACTATATAACTTATTTAGGGAATATACTCTGGTGAAAAAATATTAATGATAAAAAACTGGAAAATAGTAAACCTATCTTTTTACCTCTATATTGCTGAGTGCCCTATCCTGACTCCTCATTAGTTCCTGTAACATAGCAGGGTTTCTCACAACTTCCATTGTTTGTCGCAGCAAATCAGGATTGTTCAACATGTGATTAATTTCTGGATTTCTCTTGATGAAGTAATAAAAATCAGAAATTAATGTGTGATTTGTGATTTATATGTGTCTCATACATTTTACATGAAAGAACATACACCATTTCTATATATTAAATTTGGAATTGCTTACAAGGAGAAAACAAATGCTATTTTGGAATACTGCCAAATGTTAGGAACATAAATACTGAAATTTCAGTGGTAACTTATTTCACTAGTAATGCCATGGATAAAAGCATGACTGCATCTATTACACTAATTTTCCCAATTAACCACCAAGTCACTCTGAAACATTTTATACCTTACATGAATATATGTACAAGACAAACAATTGCCTGTTTGAACCATTTCAGAACTCTTCTTGCTTCCATAATCACAAAAATGAAAACCAGAATGAACAGTGTTAAGACATTAGTTTTTGTCTTGTAATAAATGGAAATGAGCCATCAACATCAGAAAAAATATTAGAATTATACCTCATGTTACATGAAAGTACTATTCCTATTAAAACTTTTAATATACATGTAATTTTCCCTAGGTAAATTAATAATCCTTAGTGCTATAAATAGTAAACAGTAATATCACACCAAATTTTCTTTGCATAATTAATATAACTAATTATACAATTAGTAAATCACATCAAGTCATCTTAGAAGCAGCAATTTATGAAATTAATTTTTTTGTTCATATAAGAGTGAGTTTGTTAACATGAAACCAACATGTAAATACTTCTTTCATTTATAGAATCATGGAAATTATACACAAGAATTTAGAAACAAATATAATCTAATAAGATTAACATTAAAAAAAAGATGGCAGCTAGCTAAAACTTGTGATATAGGTTTTATTCTATTCTTGAACTCCCTCCTCTTAATCAGATGTGAAGTTCTGCATTTGCTGCCAAAACTGGTATTATCACTAACATAAATACAATTTAATAATGATATCTAATTCAATATCAAGAGATAGCATCTGGCAAAAACTCATGAGTGAAGCTTAAGTTCTTTTAGCTCTCTTCTTGAGCTCCTTTTTTCAGTCACATGTCAAGTTCTATCTGGGTACTAAAGTTTGTGTTGTCTCTAACATGTATGATTTTAAATAAACTGTCAGTAACTAGTGGCAACACTCTCTAAAATACACTTAAAACCATGCCATCTCACTAGGTAAGGAAGACAGGAAGGTTCAAGGCTGTTGTGAAGAGCTACATAAAAAACTAGTTGAAAGACAATTTTCAAAACTGAATGATAACAAAAGATAGAATGACAAAGAACTATCCTGAAAAAAAATCACTATCATATAATCGTTTTAAGGCTTTGAAACTACATCGAAATGAAGTGTAAAAAACATCAGTGTTACTTGTGCATATTTAATCAATTCATTATAACCTACAGCTATGTGAATCCTTTACAGAATGTCTAACACTAATTGATAATACTTTAATATTTTGATTTTGTTGCTCTGTAATGTGCACTTGCAATGCATATGAACATAGGAGAGAATTTTCAAGACAATTTGAGAAGTTGTTTTAAGTTTAGAATTATTACAAATGGACTATCGTGTGAAACCTTTTGTTTTGGTTATTTTACATTTGATGTAATACTTTTTGGTATGACGAAGCTTCAGCCATTTTGCACTATGAATTTACTGATTGCAAGTTGATTTACAGTGAAGTCTAATGTGACAATGATATAGAAAAATATTTTGCTCTGCTAATTGTTTACAATATATTAAGGTTGGTAAATATTACTTACCTGTTCTTGTGAAATAGTTTACTATTCATAGTTAGAAATTTGTTCTGCAATGTATGTTTAAAGTAGTACCTCAACCAAGAGCATTACAAATTATCAATGTATTCACAGAAATTTGTACATAATTGTTTCAATGGCTTTAAAAAATTTAAGAATTGGTGTGTCAGTAATGAGACAGCTGATCATGGGAAAAAATTATATACTGAACTTCTTTGTATTGATACACATAAAGTTCATTTTTTCTCATTATTACCGAGACAATTATAATTAAGAATAGTATACATAATAATAGTAACTGTGCACTTGAAACACATTTAAAAAAAATATTCCAAAGTCAAAACACTGTATCAAATATGCAGCACTGATAATTAAATCGAAAGAAGGAATACATTTATTTTTTATTAAACAGTAATTTTTTTTGTGCACCAAACATATTCCACTAAATTCAAAGAATGTATTTAAATGGTAAATAAAATTGTTACTACTAATAAATGAAAAAAGCTATGTCACTGATGTTCTATATTTTCAAAGATATAATTTTTTACATGAAACCTCATGAAATTTTATGACTAAATAGTTCTCAGCATTACTTTGAGCTGTTTATTGTTGTTCAAACTGTGAAAACAATTAAGTTTTATTCTCTATAGTTACTGTACCATGTACAATTTCTAAGCTTGCTCTCACTTCAGCAACAAATGTCAGTAAAAGTAGTATTAACATGTAAAACTTTAGCTCTATTGGTTATTGATGTTTCCACAAATACCAGTCGTAACACAAAAGTAACATAACCCAACTTACATAACTATAAATTCCTATCTCTATAACACACACACTCAAAACACAAAAATCTCAACTGGTCATGAATGTTACTGAAAATGAATTTTTGCAACCAATGGCATGCATGTAAGTATGACATTAAACATACTCATTTCTAAACATGACAAAGGTCAATAGTTATTTATCTTGATCTTGACACAAAAAGTGTAATGAGAAGACAAAAAAGTATGTGGGGAATGTATACTTTTTTGGAAGTTGAATATTTGCTCCTATGGTGAAAGTAAATCACACAAGCAGAAAATGTCCATATTTAACCCAAAAACTACTGGCTACTAATTTCTTAATAAGTAATGTTGCACTTGTTATATTTCATTCCTAAAATAAAACTAATGGATGAAATTGTTTGAAATTTAACAACAACTTTCCTAAAAGTATGTAATTTCAGAATTTACATTAGGAAACAGTTTTTATAGAAAATAAATAAAATACTTACATTTGTTCCAGATTTGAATTATTTATGTTTTAGTTAATTATTCTAAAAATATCTATAAAAATGTTTTATCATTCCATAAAGTGTTAATTTTTGTCTATTTCTAATTTTTTTTTAAATCACGCACTTTTCTTATGTTTTAAGTAACATACAAGACCAAAAATAATATTTCTAACTAAACCCAAACAATAAGCAAGTATTTTTTATTATCAAATGTAATATCATATATCATTTTAAACTTATTTCCCAAATATATTTATCTTTATTTAAGTTTGCTTGATCATACCCATAATTTGGTCTATTGTGCTAACAAAACCATGATGACAACAGCATAAACCGTGTTCATTTGCCATAAGTAATCGTATCTCACAGCCACTCTCATTGATCTACAGTGAGCACATTTAAACATTACTGTAGAAATGGTCGTTAGAAAATACATGTATGCTATTGTGTGAACCGTACTTGAATACAATTTGTTTGATCTTTCAAACAAGTATATTTTAGCAGATGTTCTTGTATGTGGCGTCACAATACAAAGTACTTTATCTTCCATTTCTAGAGTATGTTTAGCAAAGTTATGGTACAGGAATTTTGTATAACACCCACCTGACACATGGCTAAATCAATACATGGTACATACTGTAAAAAAGAGTTTATCAAAGGATACAGACACCATAAATGACAAACTAAGTGACTTTACAGCAGTTAAAAGATTAGTCTAAGTTACATTCTTCCAATTAGAATTGTTCAAAGGCCAGATATATTGGAATTCGAAACTCAAGGGCATTCACACTCCTGCTGTGGCAGTGCTCTGCCAAGTGCCCATTTTGTTTCACCCCATTTTTTTATATCAATCTGTTTAGTCATTTCACAACCAATACATGATATTTATTTATTTTCATGTGCAGTCTAAGTTTCAAGGTTCCCAAATGAATAAAAATGTGTTTAGTTACTAGGAAAAAGCCAGTCATACAATCCTTGTAAGAGCCTGTTGTCAATAGAAATCTAATATAAGGTAAGATGTGCTTTTATGCATAATATTCATAAATATTCACAGATGTCATATTGCTTATGATGAATATTTAAACAGTTCTTTTATTGAAATTAGTTTTTCATGTATTTTTTGATTTTATGTTTTAGTCTATACACACACATATATATATATCACCAACACACATGGAGTGATATCTTTCAATCAAGTGTAATGTCAGAAGCACTCACAACTTTATGTATAAAACAAAGGAAAAGTTTAAATTGTATTACTTTTACCTGCCATTTACACAAAATATTAATTTTTTGTGTTCATTAAATATCCATGATAGCAATAACTAATGAAGTATTTTTTTTACAGAGTGAACAGTGAAAAGATCATATAACAAGGGAGTCTCAAATAAGGTAATATATATATGCTTTTATTCAAACCACATGTTCTTCATAAATTTTGACAGATTCTAATTCTAGTTATAACAAACATCTACATCAGGTTCATTGTTTTCAGTATATTTTCTGGTATTATGATTATACGCACATACAAAGTATATGGAGTTATAGCTTACAATTTGATGTAAGGAACATTTACGATGCTTAGGACAAAATGAATAAATTACTTATATGTACTAGTTCTACCTGAAACTTACACAAAATGTAAATTTTTTGTGTTAATCAAGTCTCCAGAATAGCAATAACCAATAATGTATTTTTCCTCTAGTTTCAACACTGAAAAACCAATTTTATCTGAGTCCTTTGATTCTCACATAAAGTAAATTGTATGCTTTTATGCAGATAATGAAATAACATGTACTTAACCCTATTGACACGGGTCAAAGGCCATGTCATCACATTTGTTGATTCATATTAAAAATTTTATTGAACTACTATCGTATGAATTTATGTCAATAAGTCTGGTATCAAATTGTAGATTATAATTCAAGTATTAGTATGATCCATTTGTTAATTTCTTAATTTAAAATCAAACATTAAAAAAATACACCTAAATATAAATTTTTCTGGATCATATGGCATGTTGAATGCAGTATTGGTTCAAATTAGATGTTTGTGATGTCCAAATACAAAGTCAAAATAATGATATTGACAAGCTAGAATATAAAATAAGAACCTCCTATCTTTTCTATTTGCCAAGATATATCTACATTTACTGAATCACACACAGTGACCTCACCCAACTCTTTACACTTTTTGAAATGCTTACGTACACCTACTTCTGTCTCTGCTGTGTGAATAACCAATCAAAAGCTCAGAATGTCCCCTAGTGGCTTTCTCAGTCTCTATGGAGAATTCGGGCAGCAATCTTTTTCTTTCCAAGCAGTAAGGTAAGACTTTAGTGAGCTCAAAATTTCATATTTTTTTAGACCAAAAGACAGCTTAGTTACCAATACCAATAAAATATTCTACTCTACAGAAAGAGCATCATTCCATAAAGTTACATTGGACAGTTTGCCAAGTCTGTAAGATTATTTTCAATTTCTAAACCATCTATATTTTCTAATGGCATACACATTTTTGCTTCACAGTGTAAGCATCCAAGCATTATGGATTAGGTATTATTTACTACAATTTATGTTTTATTTATGTTTACATTATGTAAGCTACTGTTCTAACAGACTATACATAACAGATGTTGTGTAACAATTGATACATTTTGTTTAGCCTATCAAAATACTCTTAACTGTGACAAACAGTACAAATGTAATTGTTAATTTAATTTGTTAAATGTTTTCTTAGAACAATTTAAGTCTAAGCTCTGTAGTTCAAATGTATATGTATATCATGTTTTCATTATATCAACCGAATATTAATAACATACTAAAATTTTCCTAGATGCCTTCTAAAACTAATGTTGAGTATCTGAAGCAGAAGAAGAATCTCTCTATTGATGAAGCGTTGCTGCTCTTCTTTGCTTCATCTTTTGCTTCTACCCCAGAAGAAGACATAATGACAATCATCCACAAACACCATCCACAGGAACCAGCATTGTTGAATTTACTGTTATATGAGGATCCTGAACCTACTCTCAGGTGAAGAAGACACTCATGACCAAAACCAATCTGGGAATAATGTTACTGGTCCTCCCACAACCAGCACTACAGCCACTTACACAATGGTTAGAAGCAAGACACAACAAAAGTCTCTGGCCTGTAGTGCAGAGTGAAAATGGGAGGTCTTCAAAGATGAGCATCCCCAATTGTTGAAGGATTTCATCCAAGGAGAGCCTGTTTCCCATCAAGCAAGCAGGTGTCAGACTCCTCTAGATTTTTTCCAACTATTTTTACCCTCAACATTGTCAACAAAATTGCTGAAGAAACAAATAGATTTGCACACCAGCAAAAAAAATACCTAAATAACGAAGTCAGAAAGGAAAGAAAAATGTTGAAATATAGTGATGTTACTCGTGAAGCAATTTTAGCTTTTATTTGCGTGGTTAATGCTATGGACATAACTCGCTTACCATCTCTTGCATATTACTGGTCTACCACTCCATCCCTTCATTTACCCTGGTTTTCCTCAGTATTTTCTAAAGGAAAATTCCTAACTATCGCTTGCTTCCTGCATTTCAATGATAATACTAGTAATCTACCTAAAACTGGTGCTAAGCATGATAAAATCTTCAAAGTTAGGACTGTGCTCGATCATCTACTAACAGCTATTCCAGCTCACTTTAACCCTTCTACGGAGCTATCTTATTGACGAACAAATGCTGGGAAAAATACGATAGAATTTCATTCAAACAATATCTACCTGACAAGCCTACTAAATGGGGCATCAAACTGTGGGTTCTGGCAGAAGCTGCAACTGGATACTGTCTACATTTTAGAGTATACTCTGGTCTGTACCTTCCAAGGGATTAGCTAGCACAGTTATAATAACTTTGATGGAAAACTACCTTGGAGGGGACACACTCTCTCTCTTTATTGACAACTGCTATTCTTCTCCAACTCTGTTTGATAAGTTGCTTTGACTTGGCACTTATGATTGTGGCACTTGTAAGAAGAACAGGGCCTGTTTCCGAGAGGAGCAGTTTTTAAGCTGTGGCTCAATGACTGCTGTGAAGTGGATTGATAAGAAAGATATTTAGGTTCTTTCTACAATGCACAGTGCCACAATAATAAAAATGACAAGAAGACAGGGAGACATTATTAGCAAGCCATGGCTAATCATGGATTACAACAAGTTTATGGGAGGAGTTGATCTGAATGATCAATTTCTCAATTATTATACCACTAAAAGTAAAACTGTAAAAACGGTATAAAAAGCATTTTTTTAGACTTGTTGACCTGTCTGTTGTTAATTCTTTTCACAGAAAAGAAACAGTAAAAACAGAACTTCCGCTTACAATTAGTGGAATTCCTTGTGAAACCACTAATTGGAAGTAAAGGAGGGCCTTCTCATTTGTCAAGTATTCAATCACCAGTTCTGGCAAGCACACATGAATAGCTCTCACCTGGGAAGCACTTTCCAGAACATGGTGAAGAAAAGGTGCCGACTGTACCTCAGCACTGGTTTAATTACGATGACTTGTAAGCACTGCAAAGTTCATCTGTGTACTTTGAAGAGTATCATACTCTAAGAATCTTCAAAGAAGTTAACTTTCTACTAAAGCCAGTGAACACGATAAAAGTATTCTTAAAATTGTGCATCACGTTTCTAGTTTTTATATTAGAAAGAAAAGTAAAACTTACTCTGACTCCTTTTATTTAATTTTCTTAAAAAACACATTGCTTTTTTAATGTTTGTCTTTTTTCTCAGCATTTACATTTAGGTCTTATTTGTTTCAAATGCAATTCTAATTTTTAATGTTTCAAAACTTTCACATTGCACCGATTTTCTAATTGTTTATTTCATTATGTAGCCAATATTTTCACAAAGACATATTTGACTATGCATACCATTTAGAAGAGCATACAAATTAAATTTTTTGTGTATCTTGAATACAATTGTTTTTATTTATTATGCATTACTATGCTCAGTTTTAATTGTATTTTTATACTCATCTTTTGTTTCAGTTTCTGCTCAAGATATGTGTACAAAGTTTTCAGTATTTGTCTGAACAGTGTACAACTTTACAGTTTTTATGTAAGCTCTTCACAGTGTGGTTTCAACTACTGATCTACACTTGGTTATCCATTTTCAGATAACTTTTTTGGTTACAACATTGAGCTTCAGCTTTCAACAAGTTTTGCATTTACTCATGATTTGTATAAAAATGTATAATAAAGTCTTCAATGTACATTTATTTTCCATCTACTTGTGATTTGCCTAAAACTGTATAATAAAGTTTTCAGGGCACATCTACATAGTGTATGTATGTATGTACAGTTTGCATGTAAGTTCTTGACAGTGTGGTATCATCAACGGATATGTGCTTGTTTATACATCTCAGTGTAGCTTTTTAGCATAAAAATGTTAAACTAGTTTTCATTTATTTTTCCATCTACTCATGCTTTACACAACACTGTATGCATACTTCTCAGTGCATTGCTTAGCAGTTTGATTTTGCTTGTTTCTTAATACTGGATGGCTAATAAATATTTTAACTTGACAACAATGTAGAAATGAAGTGTTAATTTCTTTTGTATTATACTCATGACTTGTAATAAAGTGCATGAAGTACATTTATTTATTTACAAAGCTTGTTTATTCATATATCCAACTTACAATTTACACTTTTACTTCTAAGTACTCAGTATTTGTGATCATTGATGCTCCTCTTCTGCATATGTACCTTAATTTGTAACTTTTGTATATAAATTCAATGTAATTCCATTTTCTCCTTTTATAACATTTTGCAAAATATTCAAATAAATTGTTTTTGTATATGATTTAGTCCTGTTTTAATTTATCTAAAACAAAAAAGTGTGGATCTTATACTAAAGAATAAAGATAGTAGAAAAAATAATTATTATGAGTAGGCTAACTATTGTAGTACTACTAATAGTACATACAAATCTCACAAGCTTATCTTTCTAAATAATGAATTATATTTTTGTTATGAAATAAATATAAAAATCAGCTCAATTATTTTACAATATTTTTCAACTTTTTGCACTATATCAGAGACTTATCTTTAAAAACTATTACAATAAAATTATTTTTACATATGTATGAATAGGTTTAAAACATAGTAAAAGAAAAACTAAATGTGTGGATAATTGTATTACAGTATATATGTATCTTAAGTTATGTGATGTTTTATAATAATTTGAGTCTAGTCATTTCCTCCAGGACTAAGCCAAACTCATTTGACTCATGGTGTAAAAACTTTGTGATAAAGAGACAAATTGCAAGTGGGTGCTTAGATGTTATGTGAACTCTATTCGAATAAATTATATATTTCAGTAAAATGATGAATAAACCTTAAATTATGCAGTCTCACTGTTTCTTTGTTTGTTGTTTAGCATAAAGCTATACAATAGGCTATATGTGCTCTGTACACCACCAGGAATTGAACCCTGGATTTTAGCCTAATAAGTCTGTAGCTTAGCAGTGTCCCAGCCCAAAGAATGCCACAAGTTAATATATATATATCAAACAAATGTTTAATTGGAAAGATGAAAAGAACTAAAAATGACTTATAACAAGATAAAAAAGAAACTGAAGATATAATACATAGCTATGCTGTGAGTGTGTGCAACAAAAGTAATAACATAATTACATGCTTGGGGATGCAAAATATAAAAATAACATTTTTCTAAAATAAGTTAACTTAATTTCTCATATTATATTATTAGTCAAGTGTGGAACTTTCAAATAAATAAATAAGTCACCCAATTCTTTGAATCAAGATAGATAATAGACATTATCTTCTTGGTATGTAATCTTTTCCAAATTTAGAATCTGGATCACCTAATATTATTCAAACAAGTATTTTGTGTAATAAATATATAAAGATACTAACTTCCATAAGTTGCTGCATCTGTGGATTACTTGTAATTAACTGTCTCATATACTCAGGATTATTCATCATTGACTGTACCATTGGGTTCTCCATAAGCTGACGCATCATATCAGGGTTGCTAAGAAACTGAAATATAAACAAACACATGAACTTGGTTTATTCTAAGCACAAAAATAAAAAATAAACTGTACAACAGCCAACAACTGTTTATATGTGTTTGTGTGTGTGTGCATTCACCCAAACACTTTAGGCTTCTCACACTTTGTTTTAACCCTTTCAGCACGGGCAGATGTGATTACTCGACTAGGGTATAAGATTTATACTTTTCGTTTTTATCTTATAGTTTTCAAATTTCATTTGCATAACCTCTAGAACCTTCTAAATGAATATCAAAAGATTTTAAAGATATATGTTTATATATATATATATTTTTTTTTTCATTTTTTATACCATATCCCTAACTAGCAATTATCATCAATGTACAATGCAATGAAATGATTAAAATTTGGAAATAGAAAAAAGGACATAACTTTTAATTTTTTGAAGAATATCCATTAAGATTTTCCTTTTGGTAAATTCTTAATTTCAGGTCTTTTCCTTTCATATATAGTTAATATTTAATGTTTTATTTTCCTTTTTTCTCCTTTACTATTTATTATTCATCTCAAGTCAACAATGTCTTCAAGGCATATTACAGTGTCTTTGGGAGACATGCGCAACCCTTCAGCAAAATGTTCGTTGAGCGCTTAATAACGTAAGCCTTGAGAACATATGATATATATTTAAAAAATGTTTGAATCTTTTAATTATGCATTTTGAAATATAACTAATATATAATTAACTAAAATATAATAGTAAGACCCAAATAAAATTTACACTGTATCTCTAATTATAATATATTTAGGTAGGAAACAACCATAAGTGCTAGAGTCGATCAAGCAGCCAACAATACTATGGTTGGTTCCATGTTCTCCATGATGACAACTGAATGCCAATTTCAAAATAACCAATGTTAGATTATAATTTAAAATGAGCTCTTTCTAGTGACTATAAACATGTGTATGTAACATCTACATTTAGGCTATAAACTCAAACAAATCCGTTAAAGGTGGGCATGGTACCCGTCAGGGGTGTAAATAATTATATATTTTAACTTTATTCTTTCAGAGAACTTTGAAATATGCGAGTCAAAAGGTTATGTAAGAGTCCTATTGCCTAGACGTACCTTTACTCAACTACCATTGTGTATTATTGAAGATAATCAGTGAGCCAAAGTAGAGAATTTTCATAGATTGTTGGTCATGTGACAATACATCTGAAGTTTTAAGTAGTTTTTAAAGGTTTATTTTGAAATAAAGAACTTACAACTTAAATAAAACTTTAAATAATAATATACATTATAATATTAATTTAATTCACATACACAGATAATAAAGGTGTTTAATTAATATTTGAATGTAACACAGTGATTTTGCACAAAAAAGCATTTAAAGGGCTACCCATTGCAAAAGGGTTAACAGACTGGGTAAATCTGTTATGCACTACTCAGATACCCCAATCCCAGTGTATTATATTTTCGATTAACAAGGTTTTTCTATTTCTATATTTATAACAGAATATTTTTCCACTAGGCATTATTTCAGTCATTAGCAAATAAAATGAAATTTTATAATCTTACTATCACAGCCAATCCTTCAAGTGTTTAAGCACCTTCCATGACAAAGAAATATGAAAGAAGTTATAACACATTTCTGGAGTAATAATACTTTGAATGGTACACTTTGTTGTTGGTGTGTGTAGTAAATTTTTACTACAAGCTCTAGGCCACTTCTTTGATTACAATGGATGTCATGACACTACACATATAAATACTATATGTGGTAGTCTCATATCTAAAAAGTTCTTTGAATGTCATACACAGGATGATTATTTAGTCCTGCAATTCAAATAATCATATCTCACAAGAAGTATAGCATAGGAAGGTGAAATTGGATGGAGGTGTTAGGGGTATTATATAGATGCAAATGTCCTAGTTCTCACATTGCTACCAGGAATGTTAGTGTTTTATTTTTGTAAAATTTCCATGGGTACAAATTGGTCTATCAATTACAGTGCAATTCATTCATCCAGCATAAAACTGAAAAGTGCAGAGGACACAAAGTGTAATGAAGCAGCTTTCAGGGAATACCACAGAGTGCATTACACCCAAAGAGGGTCTTTTTCCAGCACTGTTGTGCTCAAGTTCATAACAAAATTGGAAAATATAGGTTGCATTTGTGATACAGGCAGACCACCAACATCTACTGAAACTACCACTAAAGTCAGTCATGCCATATCAGAACAAGCTAGCACAAGTGACATTGTGTCACTGAGTGTCTGGCTTTACCAATTTCAACAGTTGTCTTTTCAGTCATAAACTGCATGGTACCAGGTAATTCTCACAACCAATGTGATTCCCATGATGTAGCAACAAATTGTACAAAACATTACAGAGTTGAGCATAAAAGTTGAAATAAAGTTCAATTACCTAAACTGTGAGTAGAAGTTTGGTTTTCATGCAGGATGGTGTCCTTTGCATATTGGTAACCAGCTGAAACACATCTTACAGTATCATTTTCAGGATAGAATCACTTCCAGTCACTTTCCTTGTGAATGGCCACCTCATTAAGACCCAACACCAGTCAATTCTAGTTGTGGGGGTACTTGAAGTCATGTGTGTACCATGGAAAGCCTCACAAAATTCCAGACCTCAAGGATACAACTGTCTGGGAGTTGGCAAGCATAACAGATAAGATGTGTGTTGCTGTAATATCAATTGTCAAATAGATGTAAAGAATTGTAAATGATAGAGGAGCATGTTTTGAACAGATCAGACATTAAGTCATAGTGATACCCCTGTGGCATTTGCATCCATACGATACCATTAACATCCCTGTGTAATTTCATCTTCCAGTGCCATACTGTTTGTGAGATATGAACACACTGAATTATAAAACTTTATTTATAATAACTCTGTGTATTTATATATATCTATTAATACAGGAAGTTTAAAACATTTGTAGTAATCCAGTTGTACTAAGTGTCTACGAATTTCTTTGCCCTTCATTTAATTAAAATTTTTTGACATCAGAGGATAAATTATTTGAAAATCATCTGGAACAAAGCCATTTTTAGTTTCAAAATTTACCATAATCTTTCAAATATATCTTTTTATATCCTACTTAACAGTAAGTCACTAAAAATGTATGATTTAAGAGATGTATTATTTATATCATGCCTACAACAACACAATTATAACATTATATAACTTATAATGTATTGTCTATAGGAGACACATTAGTAATAAAAAACATATATACATATTTCAAATATGAATCTTAGAAATGTCATTGTAAAATGTATTTTAATAAGAAATTTAACATAACACTATTATATCCAAAACAGTATATAAATGTATACTGGACTTGATTAGATTAAGTTATTATAACAATTTACTGACCATGTATGAAACAAAGAAATAACCATAAAAGAAATAATACATTTCTTAAATTACAACTAACACCAAAACATTATATAAATGTATTTTCTTTATGGGATAAACATGAAGTTATAAAAATAATGTTAACCAAAAAAATGACATAAAACAGTAAATCATTATAAAATGTTTGTTAGTAAAACAATGTACTGTCTCTATGAAACTTAAAACCAAATCATGACACCTAGCAACAAGTCACAGTAACATGCCATTATAAAAATATAGTGACTAAACCTAACAGTTATCATGATATTAAAAATGTATGGCTTCTAAGATCCCAAAACAGTATGTCTATATAAAAAAAGATTTACCTATACAACACACTATGATCAGGCCAACCACAAAAAAAAAAAGGTTTTTGCAGTACTCCTACCCTATATTTGGTTAAGGGTGAAGAAGGTAGGCAAAATTTTTTTTTATATTCAAGAATCATGAATTTTTTTGTTCAAAAACCAAAAATACACCATCTTTTGTGGATACCAATTTGTATACATAGACTTTAACCTTGAAGAGAAACAATAATTTTAAATGGGATAATTTGTTTATTACAAATCCTATAAATGGGGATTTTGAAGTAGATGATGTGATACAACTTACTTTTACTTTCTTATTAATTCTATTTACTAAAACAATACATAAAAACACACAATTATATCAATCATTTCTCAATAGTATTTATATGAAATTGAACTCTGAATATTTTATCAAATAAACTATATAATATACATAACAGCAGGACATATTACAGGATCCTGCAACTGAGACCAGAAGATTTTAAAGCCACAGAGTAATATGTTTTCAGTTGTACACCAAAAACTGACTTTTAATTTCTGATGTATACAGTCTATTTTATGAAAGATCAGTGAACCTTAAACTACCGTAAATTAGTAAAACACTGCAATTTGTCTTAATTATGACCTGACTGATACTAAGTGTGATAATTTGATTTTAAGTTTCAATGTGCAGTACATCAAATTTGAAACCGAACTATAAAAATAAATAGTATTTGCCAACATTTATCAACAGTAATGCAGTATAAAATATGTCAGAAAAGACAACTCAAAAGCAACACTGGTCCATGTTACTTAGGTCTAATAAGAGAAAAATAACAATTTAAAACCTATAGTAAGTATTAAAAACATGTTACCCAGATTATAGAAAACACAGGAAATGTTTCATTTATACCTTTAATGAAGCACTGGTCCATAAAAACACAGGAATGGACTTGATATGTTTCTAACTGAAACAATTTATTATTTATTTCTAGTCCAATGCAGTGAAACAAATGAAATACAACATATATTTATTCTTGTATAGTACTGACCTATTAATCTGTTGTACTGAATATGGCCTATTGTACATATTTGAATCCATTAACTGTTTCCATATGGGTAGGGGTCAAAGGGCATGTCATCACATTCAAAATTTTATTAAACTATTATTTTATGAACGTATGTAAATAAATTTGGCATCAAATTGTAGTTTATAATTCATGCTTTATTATCATACATAATTTAATTTCTTAATTCAAAAATACATATTAAAAAACAATAGCTAAATATTGTTTTTGTGTCATTGTCAGATTACATTTTATGACACTCACAACATCTATAAACTAGAATATAAAATAAGAACCACCTACCTTTTCTATTTGCTGAGATATAGTTATATTTAGAGAATTCACCACAGTAGTTCCCCCACCTCTTCCTCTTTTGGAAATACTTGTTTACCTATGCCCATTTCTCTTAGTTACATGTTTATAACCAATCAAAAGTGATCATTTTGAACTTCGTAATTCTGGCAGTCTTCATAAAGTATTTACACAGGTAAAGCTGTCATTACCATTGCAGAGTTTGAAGAATGGTAGTAAAAGTGATATAGTTATCAGAAATTATATTTTTTTAGACCTAAATACAGCTTAGTTAGGAAGCCTGATAAATTACAGTGGAATTTTGTGTCATCAGCATGGTAATTTATAATTTTTATCTTAAAATGCATATATAAAACCTACAAAAATAAATTTTTTAATTCCCCCATGTGCAAAATTTGATGAGACAAAGCAAGTAAGACACGCAAGTACAAAAAACTTTGTAAATAGTAGAGATAATTCTTTTCTATAAATTTTTTATTTACTGTCCTATGTTTACTTGTAAAGTTTACTGATAATCATGACATTTCGTGAAGATACATGTACATTATCAAAAGTTATAGTATGACTACTCTTATTGTTACTTTAGTGGTTACAGGCTGCGAGCAATGCACCCAAACCCATAGTTAGAGTTAATGTTATAATGTTTGGAGTATTAAACATAAGTTTTATAACCCAAACTGCTCTTTAAAAAATATCTTTTACTCTGTTTTTGTCCTTTTAAGCTTCATTTTGGGTCCATTTCAACAAGGCACAGCCATACATTTTAGCCAAGTTTCATCTATACGTTCTGTACATGATTCAAATTAGCTTGCCAGAAGCAAGAACTTTCCGTGGAAGGTGGGATTAGTAAACACCCTCCAGCTAGAGATAGTGGAACCATAGTAAAGTTTAGATTGTGACTACTAGCATAGCTTCTAAATACTCTGTCATTATTGGTTTACCTTTCATAGCTAAATATTCCTTAACTTTCTCAATTTGACTGACCACATGACCTTTTTTGTACTCATTTAAATTCTTTATAAATTTAATACTTCTTACATCCAAAGTAGTATGTATATCTTCAAAAAATCTGTCAGTCTTTTTAGTGAGGTATTTTTGATAAACTAAAATAAAGATTTGTCTATGATTATATTAAGAATTTGTTTGGAATAGTCCATGAGCAAAGTAATTTTCATATTAAGATTAAAAACACTTTTCTTTATCTCATAAATATCAAATTTCCTTCATGTAATCTCTAAAACCTCCTAAATACATTTCAAACATTTTTTTTTCAGTAAAACTCTATATTTTATCTGTTATTTTCTTTACCCTATCTCTATACGGAATCGGTCAATTTGACAGACCTCATAACCAACAAAAAAATCAAAATTAACCTTTTATTTTTTTGGGAATGACTTCAAATTGTAACATAAAACTGCATTAATTTATCCTGGGTAGCTTTAAGTTCATAACAGTATACATCTATTTATAATTAAATTTAACCATTTTACTGCCCTTTAAACCATGTCTAACTACTATTCATGCCATTATAGATTGTAAATCGCTCAGGGAACAGATAGCTCACGTTATTCTACTGAATTATATTACCCACAAGCTACTACAAGCTGCTTGCATGCATTGCTCCTTAAACATTTTTATTATATTATTATATATTTTACCTAATTTAATCTTAACTAACCTAAAAGATCCTTATTTTTATATGTTAATTACTTTTATAATAATAAATAAAGTAGTTACCCAATTTTATTTTTTCTTGCTGTCAATTGTCGATAGCAGATAACCCCACTTTTTTTATACTAATGGTAGTAATGCACTAAATTTTTATTTAATTAAATAATGCACCAAAGAACATAGACTAATAACATGGAAAGTATACACAATTTCTCCTAACTCTCAAAGTCTTTTGGCTTTCTAACTATGCGACAAAGAACTGTTACGAATTCATCCAAGCTAGTCGTTAACTTTACCACGAGAATGAATCTTGTACTCTGAATGAAATTGACGATATTCTGTTCAGAATAAAACATTATAAAACATGTCATTTGATAGATTAAATTCTTGACTTTCCATTGGTTGTAGGTAATATATAATTAAATGTAAGAGAGAGAACTATTAACAAATCCTGACAGAGAGGATGTGACAGGTGGGTGTGGCAGAAGGGGTCTGATTTTCTATTTCATAGCCCTGTAACCAAACAAAATTGAAGGCTATAAAACTTATGGTTTGTCTGAGCAATAACAATTTTATATGGAGCAATTTAGGTTCAATTTTGTACTTTTTTGAAGGGGTGATGCATAAAATAGAAAAGAGAATATACCTAGAGAAAATTTTTCATGTGTGTCACACTAGGGGAAATTCAGGATTTTTTAAAATATTGCTTTATAGAATTACAAACTTAAAACTTGTATACTATTAAAATATTGATTATTAGCTAAGATTTTATACTATACTAACTGGTATAACATAAACATAAACATGAATGAAAGACACTAAAAATTTGTGTCATGCACAGTAAAGCATAATTATGGTGATCAGGTTAACCAGTAAGAATCAACCAAAATAGGTCATTCATAAAGTATATCCATAAGTACAAATAAGGTGTGTTTCAAATCTAACTGATGCCTACAATCTTCTTTTTTTCAAATTTAAAAACCATATTTCTATTTTACAATCATTCCTAGTGGTCTACTAATTCACTTGTTCTTGCTGTGATCAAGATTATATTAGCTATACAGAAACAAAACAAGTATAAGAGAATACTTAAATTTCAAATCACCCACCAAATCTAGTATAGTCAAACATGCCCTAAAAGAGTGTGACATAGTCATCACATCTAATTTGTTAAAGATATTAGCTAGGGCCAATGAGGAAAGAAAACTATATATATAAAAAAAAACCTTCTGATTTACAAACTGAGGCCTCATATCAATATTGTTGGGTCAGCAGGCAGCTTACTCTTAAGGCTATAAAAAGTGTAAATTTAGCAAAGTGCAATATTCAACAGATGAATCATCAATCTTTCAATGATATTTGACCAGGGACCTTTACAAAGTTTGAACATTACAAATTATTTAACTTCAGTGGATTCACATTTGACATTGATACTTTATCGAAAACATTACCTAATGTCATCAGTGGAAACTCAATCTCTAATAGCCATATGAACAGTGAAGACTACAGGGCTAGCCAACTTCCTGTTAATTAAGTAAATTGTGCCCACGTCAACTCAAAATTTACTCGCTCATCGTGAACCCTCGATAAGATATCAAGGAAATTCCAGACTAGAAAGAAGACTTTATATTTTTTGTAAGTTTGTGAAACTTTTGTTTATAAATCATTGTTTGTAATAACTCTTTGTAATGTTTGTTTTTGTATCTTGTATTGTTGTGTGTATATTAAAACATATTTGTGTTAAAAAAGAAAACTGTGTGTGTGTCAATCTTGTTAGCAAATATCATAAACTGACTATATATTAGTTTTTACTTAACTGCTAAGTCTAAAGTACAATTAAACTACTAAATTAAAAGTCTAATTTAACTCATTTACAGACCATTTGAAATTCTAATACGTAACAAAAGGTCACTTGGTTTATGACAAATGGACAATTTTTTGAAACTGGCCTCATGGTATCCAAAACTACCAAACACCAAAATCTTGTATTTCATAAATACAATTTACTGGAAACAAGCCATACTTGTTGCAGGAGTTAAGTTTAGCTGCAACTGAGTTCAAAACAAAAGTGTGCAATATGTAAAGACATACTTTACTAAAAAATATTACAATTAATTCTAAATGTGTTTCTTCCAAATTTAACCTAAACAATATTTGTAGAAATTTTGTATGATAACAGTACCTCCTGTTGCATTCTTTGTTGCAAGTCCATGAAATTTCCAGATCCCAAACCCAAACCAGCAAGTCCTGGCAATCCTCCAATGTTTCCAAGCCCAAATGGTGTAGCAGAAATGTCAGCACCACTCTGATGACCCTGCAAAGTATCTTACACTTCAGATTTCAATAAACATAGTACACACATATTGTTATTTTGATAAACAGATTCTTATACGCTAGATACATGTCGACATATTACTATCTTCTTTAATCAAGCAAGGATTAAAATTACATGCAATAACACACACTAGAAATCTAGCTTATAACGTGCTTTAAAGTAGATGAGAAGCTGTTATGTAAATAATCCTATATAGGTTTACAGAACTTCCCACAATGCAAATTAAAGTTTTTCATGAAGAGTTTAAAATATACTTTAGACAATTTCAGACATAAAACTCTTATATAGCATACAGAAACAAAAATTTAGCTGCACATATTTATCAAAAACTTTCTTCAAAACAGAAAAAAAACTTACTGAAGTAGTTGCATAATGTTTTCCAGACTAATAAACATGTAATACAAATAACTGATACATAAGAAAATAATTTGTTAGCAGCCTAAGAAATATTATAAAATATATAAAACAAAATGAATAAGTTATTTCAGTCTAATAAAAAGTACATGTTCATTTAACCCTCTTCACTATGGGGGTCAAAGAGCATGTCATCACGTTTTTAGACTAACATTCAAAAATTTATTGAACTATTATTTTACGAATGTATGTCAATAAATTTGATATCAAACTGTAGATTATAATTCATATTTTAGTATCATACATTAGTTAATTTCTTAATTTGAAAGTAAATATTAAAAAAATCCTAAATATCAATTTTTGTGTGTCATGTGGTATTTTGAATACAGCTTTGGTTCAAATGATATGTTTGTGATGTCCAACTACAAAGTATATAGTTTCTTCCAAATCAGAAACTCAAATTAAAAATATAAACAAGTTAGAATATAAAATAAAAACCTCCTATCTTTTCTATTTGCTGAGATATTGCTACATTTAGTGAATTAATCACAGTGGCTCTGCCCACCTCTTCCATTTTTTGAAATACTTGCTTATCTATACCCATTTCACTCTATCATGTGTTTAAAACCAATCAAAAGCTCAGATTTTCCTCCAGGTAGTTTTCTCAGCCTCTTGAAGATGTGACTTTCCCAAGATTATATTTTTGTCTTCAATCTCCGAAAGAATGCAGATTAGTTATTAAGCCTGATAAAATTACAGTGGAATTCTGCAATACTGGTAAAGTAATTTATAATTTTTTGTTGTTTTAAAATGCATATATAAAATCTAAAAAAGTTATTTTGTTTTACATCCTCCACATGCAAAATTTGGCAAGGTGCATGCAAGTACAAACTTCTTTACAATCATAGGTATTAGAGATCATTGTTCTCTATATTTCTTTATTTACTGTTTTATGTTTTAAGAAAAATTACTGAAACTAAAGAACTTATTTGTAAATAGTAATAATATATATATATATATATATAATGTATTATAACCGAAATGTGTCTGCATTCTACAAAATACTGGCTCACTAGAACAAAGCCAAGACAGGTCACTTTGTAAAGGCCAGTTTTATACTACTAGATAAGGAAACGAGTGCACATGCACTGCATCATTGTAACTTCTGTAATGTTAGTCAGACACCGTTGAAAGGTCAATAAAATAATAAATATATATAGATGTATAATGTTATAAGATTTAAGCTATTTAGACTAAACATTTGTGGTTTCGTATTATAATCTGTAGTCATTCTAAAACAAAAGAAGCATAATCAGTATCTATTTCCAAATTTTTTATGGTGATTACAAGATCAGTCAAATCGACCAAACCCATATATAGATACAACAGTGAAAAAATAAAATATTTTTTTCTTCTAAAAAAAAGCGTTTGATAATTATATGGAGAAAATTAAAAGGTTACATAGATTTTGCATGTGAAATCTGAAAATTTTCTGATGCATAAAAGTATTTTTAATTTTCAAATTAAAATACTTTGCATATTGGATAGTCAACATTTGAAAAGAAAAAATTCACAAGCAAATAGGTATATAAAAAATCTTATTACTTAATAAAAAAATCTTTTGTATATGAAAGCCTTGTAATGTTTACTAATAATCTGCAAAATTTCATGGAGATATGGATACTGTATCAAACGTTTTGGTATGAAAATCATAACAAGCACAAAATGGTTATGAGGTCAGTCTCTGGGACTGAGCCCATAGTGAAAGAGTTTATCCAAGTTTATAGTCAGTCACAAAGCAAAAATATATCTTCACAAATCTGATCTGTATGATTTTTAAGATGAAACTTAAATATTGTATAAAGTATCAAAAACAAGCTTAACTAAGGTTTCTTAATCTTATGTGCACAGAATGGGGGTCAAAGTGCATATGCCATGACTTTTTACAGAGTGCCAATTTAACATGGTATTATGCATTTGATGTCAGAGTTGTGAACTATCCATTTTAACTATACTGCTGGTTTAGCAACAGTTCATGGTGGAAAAAGATGAATACCAAACACAATATACAAAAACATTAAATGTAGATATGCAGTTCAGAGGTTCTAAAGGTTATGCAAATGCACATATGATAGACAATACTATTTTTTTCATCACATGACCATCCGTCTTGCAAACTGACTTGTCAGAGTCAAACTGATGTTATTAATTCCCAGACATCTACTGAGTACAAATACTTTTATAAAACATCTAACTTTTTTTTGTATATAACAGATTTGTACACTTTACTAAAAGCCTTTCACATTTCATGGAAATATATGAAGCAAATTCAGAACTAGTTACATTCCATTTCCAATATAGGATTGGTCCAGTGGACCAACTCTGTGCACATTTGATTAATGTTTTCTTTTCTTAGATCTGTACAATGACAAACACCTAAATATTCAGAACTCCTAAAATGTCCATTGAACCCGGTAAATTTAACCATAGTAGGTTCATTTGTAAAATTTAAACAGTCATGCTATATTGTGATAAATAAAATGTTACATGAGGCATTAAGTGACATAAAGGAAAATAATTACTACTACCTTTGCTTTAAAAGTTTTGTTGTTAAGCACAATATGCACAATGAACTATCTCTGCTATGCTCACTATAAGAAACAAACCCACATTTCTAGATATTAGTCCTCAAGTTTACTGCTGAGTCACTGGAAATTGAAGGTGAAGTTTAAATTTGAAACACCTATGACTGACTGACTCATGTGAGACAAGATCACTTAAAATCTGATTTTATTTTACTTGGAGAAACTAATCTGAAGAAGCTACGGGTCATAAAAGTTGCACAACAGCAGAGATAACCATTTCCTTGTAGCTACATAAATGTATATATACAAACCATAAAGTATTTAACCATGTATAAATTTAAAATAAAAGCATCACTTGTTTTGTAATCTTAAAATTCGGGTTTGTTTGACTAGATATCAGCATCAAATCAAATTTGTCCTAAAAATGCAGGAAAAAGTGTTATTTAATCTTGTTCTGGTTAAGTAACTTTTCAGAAATGTATATTACAATAATTTAATAAGCAAGTGCAGTTTTCGAGCTTATATAAATTGACTGAAATGTTATAATTAATAATAGAATCAAATTATGAGGCAGCCAAAATATTACTTGGATATTTGTTGCTAGAACAACTGTTTTGTCAGGGTTTTATGTAAATGTGGGCTGAGGATTCTTCTACAGTAGGTGTCTGTAACTTGTTGGTAATAAATGTCAATAATAAATGGATAATCCACTTGTTTTAAAATAATATATTCAAAACAAGTCAAATGTAAGTACAAAAATTCTTTATACTATAGGATACCACAGTTTTATCTAAAACTCTTAATAATTCTCTTTTCTTGTCAAAGTCCACACATGCTGATTCAATTAGTTTACAATCCAATTAAAAAAGACGAACTATTTTTCTCTGCTTTGTTTATTTTACTGTAGAATTTGTCATGGATTCACTTACATTACTCTGTGGGTTACCACAGCTGTATCTCAAACTGTAAATAATTGTCTCCTTTTCGTCAAAGTTCACATAGATGGGTTCAATTAGTTTAGAACACCCTTTGACAAGACAAATTATTCTACTTATTTCTATTAAACTCACTTTAAAATATCAATGTCTGTTATGGCTAATTGCTGACATGCTGGCTAACTTCACATTTACTAATTTTTTTCTAACTGAACTTTTACTTTCATGTCATTTTTCCTCTGCTTGACTTGCACTCACTTCGTCAGTTATATTTTGTTGACTGAGGCCTCAAACTTTCTATAAACTACGTGACACTATAACTGAACAATACTCATTTAAGGTAAGAAGAAAAATTCTGAAAATTCGAGTAATTTGGCATCAACAATACTACAACAATTGAACCACATACAAAGTATGACTCTTACTAAGTTACGCAACCAAACTTGTCATAACTATCACCTTTAAAGTAATTACTTTTAACTCACATTATGAAAAGTGAATATTAAATACTAATAATCTAATAACATAAACAATAATGCTTACACTAAACAATCTTGTATATACAACATGTTTATAAACTCAACATTTTTTTATTATTCTCTAACATGTCATGTATTTAAAAAGAATTAGAATCTTACTTGCCTGCAAAATTCTGGTCTTATACAAAGTTACATATTTCTAACAGCATCAGAAAATACATATACATTCACCCGAATTACAGTTTTTCTTAACAGGAAGTTACAATGTGTTCTGTTAGTTTTGAGAACTAAATGTATTAATGTCTTTACTTAGAGATTTTCTCACACACATGTATTTATATGTATGTATGTATATATATAGAGGGTCAGAGAGATTAGCTATATGGCAACAATGCCTTAAAAAGTTGGTGCATGAAACGTTATAGATGATGAGCAATAATTTATTGGAACAATTTCCTCTTAACTGTAACTTAACACATATTTTCATTTAAGAAAATGTCAGTTTTGGTGCTATCCTACAAACTACTTAATCCCATTAACACAAATATTTTAATACCCAGACACTGTTCAATAAACACTAGGTGACAAAGCAGTTTCAGCTATCCTACATATAGTAACCTAGATTGATATCACTGATATGAATTACATTAAAAATAGCTCTACCTTACATGGGTTAATTCACAGAAGTTTACAAAAATGACTTTATGATGCTACATACCTCTGTCCCTGGTTGTCTCTCCTGATGCTGAAAGAAATGCATAGAATAGATTATATATCCTACATATAAGATTTCATAGAATGTTAATAATAATATGTTTGACAATCTTACATACAGCTTAAAGTATGTAAAATAGATGTGCAAGCTATGCAAAGAAATGTAAAACACTCTATGTCCACTTTCCACTGCTATAATCTCTAGATCTGAATTAACCAATTACACCTTGTATGATAAGTACAAAATGCTTCAATTCTCTTTTGTTTGTTTTAACCCTAGTTGTGTTCATCGTGCACTGACACAATCCCTACCTCTCACTTGAGCCGAGAGATTAGTGGTATTTGTTAACTGATTTATTGAAGTACTCACTGATCAATTAGTACAACACACCCCCTATAACCCACACAAGCAAAACAATATGTACATTTTTAATCACAGCATTATTTTAACATGATATTAATTTTCCGCTTTTCTTTTTTTAAGTAATTTTTGAACTACCTCTGATTTCATATGATAGACCTTTTCTTAAGGTCACCATTTGTAAAAGTTATAACTTTCCTATAGTGAAAATGTTTTTCCAATAGGTACTTATCTCTCATCACATATAACTATTTTTGTTCAGTGGTGCCCTCTATATACAAAACATTTTTTGCATGCCACAAAAGCCTTGCACTCCCACACATCCAAAGATTATCATGGTTCAGCTGTGTCTCATATACAAATTATCACGCAACAACTCTCCATCAATAGGAGAGCAACAAATCCTCCTGATGCATGTGATTCTATTTGATTTTAGGCAGAAAATGAAGCACCACTTTTCAGGGGGGGGAGGACAGGTGGGAAGTGTGAGACAAGGTAAGTACCTATAAGAAATATATTTCAAGTATAGGAAAATTATAGCTCCCGATATGGTACATTACATTCTCTCACATATATAGCTAGAATCCCACACTGAAGTGGAGGGACCAGCACAAGGGATAAAAAAACATCCTTTAAAATTGTCCAAACAACACCCTAGAACGTTGATTCTCTTAATAGAGAATCATACTTTGGAGATCGCACCACTTCTGTATCAGGTCTACTCTTCGCTCAGTGTGAAAAGAGGTGTTGTAGACACTGGCATAAAATGTGGAGGAGCACAATCTGAGGGAGAGAAGACAGTTGGATTGGAATCCATATCACATTATATCATAATCTCAATCCCAATGAAGAGAGACTGTAGATGAATCCTCTACAGACAGTAATGTGGGGGAAAGCAAAACTGGATGTGCTCCAAGGTGTAAAGTGTCCATACCTGGCAGGTCAACTCCAGTCAAAAACCAAGCAGAATTAGAAATATAACCTCAAATCCATGGTAGGAGGAGTGTCCACACCATCTTCATCTCAAGCCCAGATGAACGGAAGTATATAATGTGCAAACTGAAATATATGAAACGGGCACGTGTGCAATCCACAACTAACTACACATCCAAATGATGACAGGAAAAGAAGTGTCCCTGTGGGAGGTCACATCATACTCAAACTCAATCTGACAGGCACCCCACTACATCACCTCCTTCAACATCATCATTCTTTTTGTGATCATGAGGTAAAATGAGGGAGGAATAAGAAAAACACAGGCATAAACGAGAAACATCCCCAGACCATGATCCTGCCACCTCCAAACTTCACTGTTGCGACAACACAGTCAGGTAATAAGAGTTCTCCAGGCATCCTCCATACTCAGACACATCCATCAGACTGGAAGAGAATGTAGTGTGACTCGTTGCTTCACAGGACCAATATCCATTCATCCACAATCCAGGTTCAGTGTGCCTTACTCCATGACAATCGATAGTGTGTATTTGTTTTTGTTATTAACAGCTTTGGGGCTGCAGCTCTTCCGTGAAAATTCATAGCATGCAGCTCTTGACATGTTGTGGAAACACTGGGGCTGCTCACACCTCCAAACACAGATTCTCTAGAGTCTGATGGCGAGATAAGGTAACCAGCCTTCTCAAGGTGTGTCAGCTCCTGTCAGTCAATATTTTATGCCTACCTGGTCATTCCTTGGGCTCATTGTAACCTGTGGATTTTCATTTCTTCAGCAAATTGCCAACTGTCAACCTGGAAGTGTTCAGTTGTTGCACAAGAGCAGACATTTTCCCCAAATGACATCCAACTATCCTTCCCCTCTGAAGCTCTGTTAGCTCTCTTAAAAGTACTTATTGTTCGATGTACAACTTCAAAATGACTTCCGAGCAAACTGCTGGTCACCCTTATAGGCCACACTATTTGTATATTTCGTCATCAAATCCATTTTCCTGCAATAAGAGGTGTATCCCATGACTTTTGGTAGGATAGTGTATTATAAAAGCTATACTAACTGTAAACAGTTCTTGATGAAGTTGCAGTGGGGAAATGTTTGCTAAAATAAAAAATTTGTTATCATCTTCTGGGGAGTAAAAGTCATTGTATTTCTAGCTTAACTACCAAAATCCATCCAGTATGTACTATAATTTCTAAAAAGTACACAAACTCTGATAAAAACAAATCTCTAAAGTCTACTGCTGTGTGGAAAAAGGCAGGGCCTGAAGATTTAACATAGCAATATTTAGTTGACATTCATATCATTGTATCCATTTAGAAATAATCAGATATTGTCTGAGGCTGTATCTGGATTGTTGTAGACTCCAGCTACAGTATTGTGCAAAAGTGTTAGGACAACGTCAAATATTAGATTTCAGGCTACTTTCAAGGAACAATGGAAGGTACATCACAGGTGAAACGTCAGAATATTATTAATCTTCATATTTAGTACAACAGAAACTCAGTGGAATTGCTTGAGTTCAGCAAACAGTCTTTCAGGTATTGTTGCAACATACTTAATAAAAGTGTCCTTTAGGATTTTACTCCAAACATCTTTAATACACTCCCATAAAGATTCTTTCGAGGTAACTTGTGATTTGTCAAGTTTTTGATCTATCAAATCCCAGATCTGCTCAATTGGGGCTCTGTGGGAGTCATTGTATTATTTGAATGACTCCAGCAGCTTCTTTCTTAGCTAAGTAATTTCTGCATAG